TCTTAGAAGCGGTTTGCCGAGCATTTAACAAGATCATAATCAAATATCACTTTCCAATTCCAAGATTGGATGATATATTGGATTGCCTTGCCGGTTCAAAGGTGTTTTCTAAGATCGATCTTAGAAGCGGTTTGCCGAGCATTTAACAAGATCATAATCAAATATCACTTTCCAATTCCAAGATTGGATGATATATTGGATTGCCTTGCCGGTTCAAAGGTGTTTTCTAAGATCGATCTTAGAAGCGGTTTGCCGAGCATTTAACAAGATCATAATCAAATATCACTTTCCAATTCCAAGATTGGATGATATATTGGATTGCCTTGCCGGTTCAAAGGTGTTTTCTAAGATCGATCTTAGAAGCGGTTTGCCGAGCATTTAACAAGATCATAATCAAATATCACTTTCCAATTCCAAGATTGGATGATATATTGGATTGCCTTGCCGGTTCAAAGGTGTTTTCTAAGATCGATCTTAGAAGCGGTTTGCCGAGCATTTAACAAGATCATAATCAAATATCACTTTCCAATTCCAAGATTGGATGATATATTGGATTGCCTTGCCGGTTCAAAGGTGTTTTCTAAGATCGATCTTAGAAGCGGTTTGCCGAGCATTTAACAAGATCATAATCAAATATCACTTTCCAATTCCAAGATTGGATGATATATTGGATTGCCTTGCCGGTTCAAAGGTGTTTTCTAAGGTTGATCTTAGAAGCGATTATCTTCAAATCCGCATTAGGCCGGATGATGAGTGGAAAACGGCTTTTAAAACACCTAATGAACTATTTGAGTGGCTTGTGGTGCATTCGGGCTTACTTATGCGCCAAGTACTTTTATGATGGTGATAACACAAATGTTGCAACCACTTTTGGGTGTTTGTGTAGTGGTTTACTTCGATGATATCTTGATCTGTAGTTGAAGTTTGGAAGAGCATTTGTGCCACCTCCGGCAAGTCTTCAAGCTTTTGAGGCGAGAAAAGTTCTATGGCAACACCAAGAAATGGACCTTTGCTGTGGATCAAGTCATTTTCTTAGGTTATGTTGTTTCTTCCCATGGGTGCTTATGGACATGGAGAAGGTCAAGGCGATTGTGGAATGGCTACTCCCTCCCTCTAGTATCCATGAAGTGAGGATTTTTCATGGGTTGGCTACCTTCTATAGACAGTTTATCCGTAACTTTAGTAGCCTTGCTACCCTTTAACCAACATTCTCAAGCTTAAGACTTTTGAATAGAGGAAGGAAGTTGTTGATAACTTCCAACTATTAAAGAAGGTGGTTACTGAAGCTCCAATTTTGGCGCCACCGAAGTTTGACAAGACCTTTGAGCTTGATTGTGATGCCTTGGGAATGGGCATTGGTGGTGTCCTTAGCCAAGAAGGAAAGCCAATCGCCTTCTTTAGTGAAAAGTTGAACGGGGCTAAGCTTAAGTATTCTACTTATGACTTGGAGTTTTATGCCATCATCTAAGCCAACAAGCATTGGAGCTCCTACCTTGCTTACAAGGAGTTCGTGCTCAACACCGATCATAAGGCCCTCAATACATCAATAGCCAATACCATCTTAACAAAAGGCATGCTAAATGGGTGGCTTCCTTGCAACAATTTATGTTTGCCTTGCGCCATAAATCGAGGGTTCTTAATATGGTGGCCGACAGGTTGAGTAGGAGAACAAGAACGACTCTCTTGTTGAGATGAAGAATGAAGAAGTGGGTTTTGATGAGTTTTGTACATTCTATATGAGTGGTCTTTACTTCCATAAGATTTTTGATGCTTTGCAAATCCAAAGAGGGGATAGAGCTATTTATCCAAGTTACATGTTAAGGGATGGATTCCTCTTCCATGGCCTTGAGTTGTGTGTTCCTAGTTGTTCTTTGAGGACACATTTGTTGTTCGAGCATCATAAGTTGGGCTATTTTGGTAAGGACAAGACCCTTGGATTACTTCAAGATGCCTATTATGGGCTGGGCATGACCAAGGATGTGGGCAATTACGTGAAGCGGTGCCAAATTTGTCAAAGAAGTAAAGGCACTACAACTAATTCCGGATTATATATGCCTTTACCGGTGTCGGATGGTCCTTGGCAATTAATTAGTATGGACTTCGTGTTGGGTTTACGTCCTACTACCGCAGAGTGATTCTATTATGGTGATGGTGGACCGCTTCCCCAGGATGGCACATTTTATTCCTTGCAAGAAGACCATAGATGCTACCAATATCGCTAACCTCTTCTTCAAGAAAGTCTATAAGTTGCATGTGGTGCCTACCTTTATTGTTTTTGATAGAGATGTGAAGTTCCTTGCTCACTTTTGGAGAACCTTGTGGAAGAAAATTGGTACCAATTTGAATTTTAGCACCACCTTTCATCCTCAAACTGATGATCAAGTAGAGGTGGTAAGTTGAAGTCTTGGTAACTTGTTGAGGTGTCTCATGGGAGATCATCCCAAGAGTTGGGATGCCATTCTTCCCTTAGCTGAGTTTGCTTACAACTCGTCACTCAATCGCACCATTAACACTTCTCCTTTTGAAGTGGTTTATGGGATGAAACCCTCAAGTGTTGTGGACTTGGGTTCCTTTACCCATTTCAAGGAAAGGAAGTGTCAAAGCTGAGAAGATGGCTGCGTTCATGAAGAATGTTCATGCTCAAATGAAGTTCCAAATTGAAAAGTCCAATGCCAAATACAAAGCGGCCATTGATTCACATAAAAGGAGAGTGTTATTTGAAGTGAGGGATCTTGTTTGGGTTGTATTGAGCAATGAAAGGTATCCTCAAGGTTCTTACACAAAGTTGAGTGGTAGGAAAGTGGGTCTATGTGAAGTGTTGAACAAAGTCAATGACAATGCCTATCAAGTCAAATTACCTCCTCATTTGGGAGTTGTGCCACATCTTGTGCCTTATTTGCCGGATTCTTCTTGCACCAACACTGGTTCCCTTATTGTAGACTAGCTTCTTTATGGGATTTGTTTGTATTGTACTTGTCTAGTATTGTGTTTCATTTCTTATACATTGGTTGTATTTTTTTCATCTTTTCTTGAGGACAAATTCTTTCGAGTGGGAGAGTATGATGTAGGACATCATCTACCTAACTTGTGATTAGTTAGTGCGTAGTTAATTGATAGCCTATATCTAGAGAAGTAGTGACCGTTTTGTAACTAAGTTTGATGTATGATAATTGATCGATTAGAGATATTCTCTCTCTCTAGAACCTTAGGGTTCCTTCTCTCTCTTGTTCTTGGATTCCATCATAGGCTCAACCCACCGCATGTGTGGAGCACTCTGGTTGGTGACCACCTTGAAATCTCAATTCTGAGTCTAGAAATGATGTTCTAAATCCCAAAATTGGAACATGGGACGACTCAAATGATAAACAAGATTCAACACAACAATAATGATCTTTGAAACAGAAAATTAACAAACCAACACTCCAAAGGATCCGAAAACAATACAAGTAGGTCTAATTAGAGAGTTGAAGTCAGGTTTAGGACCCGAGTTGCTACAAGTTATTAGCTCAATTTGATATTATACTCATGTTTGTTCCATTTTTTTGTGTTCGACCCTCACCTGTGTTACATGGACTCGGTAAGAGAGTCGGATTTGGATACGTGTCCAGAAGTCGGATTCGCATGTTCTCTCAATTTATGGGGACTCAACTAAAAAGCATCCAAAAATTTAACAAGGATACGGGGTCACGGCATATTAATATATACATTAAAATTAAATATTCTATATATTGTTGAATTAGGAGGGAGGGGTTGGAAATGAATTAATACTAAAAAAATATAATGCTTGAAGAAATTAATTATTTTTTGTAAGTTGATGTTCATTTGAAGCTTATTGCAAGTGAAACTGATGTTGCTTGCAAATTGAAAGGTAAGTGGCAAAGAAATTGGTGTCATATCATCAAATTACAATTCCAAGTGCAAATATGATGATGTCACACCTGATGACACTCTCAACTTAAAAAAAACTCAGCTGTCTCTATTTGATTATATAACACTAATATACTTCTTTCATTGATAACGTAAAAAATTGTACCTAGTCTATACCTATGTCACATAACATACACTGCAGTCTGCAGATTGCTTTATTCACGTGATACACTGCATATTTATCATAAACAGTTGTGCATATTTGTGTTGTATTAAATATATATATATATTAAATATAAGAATCCGTTTGGTGAGAGAGAGAGAGAGAGAGAGAGAGAGAGAGAGTTGCTTGTTGACGACACAGTGAGCTTTGATTGTGACACACCTTCTCTTCTCCGGTGAATTTTCAGATTTATGGAATGATTTTTTCACTCGTTACCTAGAAGTTCTTTTGTGTGGAGTTCTGCCCAAAGTTAAGACATGTCCGAGATAACAGAGTCATGTCTGACATGGATCTCGCGCGCACACATGTATTGTGTCGTGTCGACATGGGTGCTCCCCCCCTGAACTGGCGAATCCATGTAACACAGACCCTCACATCTCAGCCATAAAGGTATTTAGAAAATCAGCTATGCTACTCGCGCAGAGAGTATTTCGCAGACTGGGACATAGATGTGACTCAAAATGTTTGCAAGAACATTGTCTCCCATCTGTGCATTATGTGTTCAGTACTTTCTGAGTGTGCAAACTTTATCTTTGAAGGTTCACACTTTCTTGATGGTCTGTCAGTGTCCTGATGGAACAAGCTGGCATTTCTCCAGCAGGAAAGCATTGGAATTCGCTTTGTCTTTTTCTCATGTCCATGGCTTGTATTTCACTTCTACATATTTAGCAGTTCACTTGTTTTATTAAATGCTCTTTGATTAAATGGACTATTCTCTACTTTTTTGGATAAAAGTGTCTTTTTTATTTCCTTCTTTTATTATTGCTCTTTTGTTTATTTATTTTTTATACAAACTGTTTCAACTTAAATCACAATCTGAATTTTCATCACTTTGGGAAAGTCGCATGCATCCGTTGCTTTATATGTGGTTGTTTCTATATTTTTGTATATTTGGGCACATTGTCATCTGTGGTGATGGTCATTGACTGGGAAGGTTACTATTTCAGAAATCAAATGAATTAGAACTTAAGGTGGCATGGGATCGCTACATGGATGCAAATGATCAGTGGAAAGACACTGAGGCTCGAAAACAAGCTAAAGTTGACAGCAAGGTTTGTGATTAAGGATGCATGCTCTTACTCCTTCCAGTTCTTATTTCTGTGTTACATATCTTTACTTCTAATTACATGCAGAGTGGTCTTCTAAAACGTATTGAAGAGAAGGAAAATGAACGTGATTCATTTGAACTGCAAATTTCTAACGTGAATCTGACTGACATTGATGAGAAAGAAAAGGACATGGTAATGATGCCCTTTCTCAGTTGTTTTTCTTTGGTTTCAGAAGCTTGATTTTGGCTGATTACATTATTATTGTATGTAATGAAAACTTTCTTTTATCTTTGCAGAAAATTATGGTTGAGAGAAAGGCAAACCAACTTGCTGAAAGGAAATTTGACTCAACTAGACGCCAGAAGCAGACAGAGATATATACTATTGAGCAGGAAATTAAATCTCTTAATCGTGAGAAAGATATCATGGCTGCTGATTCTGTGGACAGAGTTAAACTGTCTTTAAAAAAGGCAGAGTTGGAAAATCACAAAAAAAAGCATAAAAAGATGCAAGTCAAATCTCTCTCTCTAATCCCTTCTGCTGTGCTTTTGTTTTGCTTTGGTGTATTCTTCTGATCCTTTCTTTCTGTCTAGTATTTTTTTTCTTGGAGCTGATGTATCTTTTTACTTTGTAGAATGGATGAAATCAAAGAAAGAGTTAAAGGAGTGCTAAAAGGAAGGCTTCCTCCTGACAAGGATCTGAAAAAAGAAATTGCTCAAGCCCTAAGGTTGTGTTAATGTTAACCGATGTTTCATTTTAAGTTGGTAATATCTACAAGTTCGTTTTTGATGTCTTACTTATTCTGTCAATTAATTGGTAGAATTACTGGCAAATTAAGTGTCATGATGCGAATGCTCTCTCCAGTTGCTTTTATGTTTTGGAATTTAGTTTGCGAGTATGAGTATGGTTATTCTGGTTTTGTTTTTAACTTCAACTTTGATTACTGCAGTGTAGCAGAAAACCATTTATAGGTTGTGTTTTTTCCTTTTATCAAATTCAAGGTATAGGTTTTAAAGAAGAGTGCTATTTCTCAGATGCTCTCATTTTTTCATTTTTATTTTATTTTATTCATTTAGTCTTGTTTTTGGCTTTTACTTTATTGCTGTGTAGCTGAAAACCATGTATAGGTTATATTTATGGGGAAATTACTATTCAGTGAAAATTTTATAAAATTATGACAAATTTGTGAAAAAGTTTATTTGTTTAATTATCAGTTTTTATAAAGTTACTACTTATTTGTAAATATTTTTCAAAACTCCCTCTAAACTGAAATTTCCACTATATTTTTTCATTTATATTCATATTGAAGCTATGGGTTTTAAAGACGAGTACTTCTCAGACGCCCTTTTTCTTTTTTTCATTCATTTAGTCTTGATTTCAATTTTTCTTAGATAAATTTATTGATTAGTATGCCTTCTAACCGTTGTGTATAAGATTTGCCAAATGAAAGCATGCTATGTTACTCGGACTCGGGTATGGGTATTGAGTATGGGTGCATATCTAGGGGTCGGACACCTTAAAACTGAAAATGGAGGATTCAAGGATATTGAAAGTAGTTATTTTTAAAAAATATTTATTAAATTATCATGTTAAAAATTTATCCAAATAAAATTTTAAATAAAATTTAATTAATTAAATGCAACATAAAAATATTTTTAAATAAAATTATTATCTTTATAAAGTTATTATTTTAAAAGTAATGGGGTGAGAGAGAGAGAGAGAGTTAGTTATTATCATCTTTAAATAATAGTGGGGTGAGAGAGAGAGAGGGAGAGAGAGAGAGAGTCATTATATTTAAATAACATTAGTGGAGAAGAGAGAGAAAGAGAGAGATGAGTGCGGGTAACGAAGACGAGATCGAGATCGCAGAATAAGAGATCGACATGAGTACAGGTAAGGAAAACGAGATCGAGACCACACTTCGACTTCGACGTCGAAGGGGAAGTTGAAGCCAGTGATAGGGGATCGAATCAGCCACGCTTGTTGGAACAGGGGATTGAATTCAACGGCAGGTTCTCTCCTTGTTCTCTCTTTCGTTTCTTCTGCATTTAGGGCAAAATAGAGCCGTATCCATTTGTAAAGAGTCATATCTAGAGAGAGAGAGAGAGAGAGAGAGAGAGAGAGAGACGTGAGTACGGGTAAGGAAGACGAGATCGAGATCGTAGAACAGGAGATCAACATGAGTATGGGTAAGGAAGACGAGATCGAGATTGCACTTCGACTTTGACTTTGACGTCGAAGGGGAAGTCAAAGCCAAGGATAGAGGATCGAAGCACCCACGCTTGTCGAAGTCGTCGAACAGAGGATCGAATTCAACGACAGGTTCTCTCATTGTTCTCTCTTTCGTTTCTTCTGCATTTAGAGCAAAATAGAGCCGTATCCATTTGTAAAGAGCCGTATCCTGGCCGTATCCCGCACCTGTACACGTGTTGTGTCGTGTCGACATAGGTACCTCCCAAATTTCAAAGAGTCCGTGTAACGTAGAAAGCATGTGAGCATGATTCTTGAAACCTTATACGCCAAAAAAAGAAAAAAAAAAAAAAGAAAAAAAAAAAAGTGACTTTTGACCCTCGGCCTTTGTTTGGGATGTGGGTTGGCTTTTTGACTTTTTGACTATTTTAGCCTGGGCTAAAATGCCTCATTTGGGTTGAGTTTTCAGGCTTTTTTGACTTTTTGACTTCGGAATGATGTGTCCATAAGCAAAATTACAAAAATGCCCTTCACCCATAGTGAGAGATGAAATGAAGGAAATGAAATGGTGGTAATTTGGTCATTTTGGCTTTGCCTGCAGCAGCTGCCCAAGCACGTGAGTGAGGTTTGCCGATTGTGGCTAAATTAGCCAATTTTGTCGTATGTGGCTAAAGTAGCCCCCAGTGGGTATGCCAAACATAACCTGAGGATGCCATTGAAGAGTAAGTCCAGAACTGCTCACCGGAACACTTCGAGCTACTGTCATTTAACCTCAAAAGGGATGCAAACATGTTGGAATTGATATATATATATATATATAGACAATGTTCATTTTACCCTCTTTAAATATAGTAGCTCTAAAAAAGACAGGTAAAACAGTTCAGTTCCTGTGCCAGGAAGGGAGTATTTTATTTATTTATTTATTTTTGGGTGTGTAGGCGCTGGGCTTGTGAGAGGGTATTGGCCTCCCTCCCTGCCTTGTCTCCATATATGAATGAAGTGGGATTAAGATTACTATAGGTGATCAAGCTCATTGCCTCATGATTCATATGAAGATGAAGGTTTCTTGTGGTGTCGCATTATTACAGTGAGTCCCCCTGTCTCTACTTTGGCTAGCAGAGTCAATTAGATAAAGAATATTTGGGAAGACAGTTTATGCACTAATTATGTTTTGTGCTTAAGGAGGTCGCTTTAGAGAGAATGAAACTTCCTCAAACTTGGTAGCAATCTGATGTAGGACATGTGCCTAGCATGTGATGTTTAGTTAGTGGGTAGTCAGTTGGTAGCTTATATCTAGTGAATTAGAGATTTTTGTATGATTGATTAGAGATATTCTCTCTAGAACCTTAGGTTTCCTCTCTTTAAATTCTCTCTCTTGTTCTTGGATCCCATCATTTTGGTATCAGAGCATAGGGATTTGGATCCTAACTTTTCACTATTCCTCCTAATTTTCTAGTTGAATCATCATCTAGAAACTGACCTGGTTCAATTTGTGTCGCAACAAACAGTTGGAGTCTTGGTCATGGCACCTGGGGATCAAGCGATCTGAGTTTGTAACTCGTTTGATGAGCACAATCTGATTTCTGTGCCTGAGTCGAAGCCTGTCTTCAAGTTCGAAGCCCTGAGTTTGGTTTGAATCTGTTAGGAAACCAGGGGGCCATCGCGATTTGATCTCTGTTTCTTGTATCGCAATTTGATTTCTCTCTGAAATCGAAGTTGAAATTGCAAACTGACCAGATTTCTCCATTTGCATCTGGTTTGCAGCTCCTGGATCTTGTTTGAAACTCTGAATTCTGGGTTCTATTTGAAGATTGTGACCCATTTTCCAGAGACATGGGTCTTTGCAAGGGAGATAGTTTGGCTTTCGAATTGGGAACTGTTGCGATTGCTGATTCTTGTTCAAGTTTTTTCCTGGATTTTGCATCTGATTGAAGTAATTCGATCACTCCTTTTCCTTTATTGGACTGTTTCGAATCCATTCTAGAGAATCCCCTTTGATTGCAGTTGCTTTTGAGGCAACCCTATGTCTGCTATTGCGGTTGCGGTTGTTGTTGTTGTATGTTTGGTTGATTGGAATTTGACTATTATTGTGGTCCATCTCTTTGATTAACACAGAGTTCTTGAAACTGGTTGGTCAAATTGGGTTTGTGATTTTGAACATTTGGGGTTTCAACAGCTCAACGAGGTGAAGGTCATACGGGTAGTCGTGGTAGGGCTTATGCTCCGAATTGGGGTGATGATGCCGAGGTCAATCCTCCAGTTGGAAGGGATAATGGGGTTCCATATCCAAGAGATGAAATGGCCGAGATGAGAAGGCAAATTGCTGCTTTAATAGAGACGGTGCAATGTCTCCTACCTCCTACCAATGGTAGTGATGGTGCCGATGATATCGGGGTGGTACTCATCACTCTTTTGATAATATTTTTTGGCTTTGCAAAGGCGTTGAGCGAATGTGGGTAAATTGGAAGTTGGAACACGAGTGGGAGAACAATGTCAAAATTAAATTCCCCGACTTCCATGGGAGCCCTAATCGCGACAAGTTCATAGATTGGCTCAACACTATTAAGCATATCTTTGACTAAGGAGAGATTTCCAATGAGAAGAAAGTCAAGCTAGTTGCAATCAGACTAAAAGGAAGGGCTTCCGCTTGGTGGGAACAACTTCAACTTAGTCGTCGACAAAGTGGGAAAGAGAAAATCCATGATTGGGAGAAGATGATGAAGAAATTGAAGGAGAATTTCATACCATTCAACTATCTTCGAAGTGTATTCCAAAACCTTCATGTCCTTAAGCAAGTTGGAAGTGTTAGAGAATACACAAAATTTTTCTATCATCAACTCATTGCTCAGGTTGATTTAAATAAGAGTAAAGAACAACGGGTGGTTTGTTATATTAGTGATTTGGAGCCTTCTATCCAAGATGTTCTTGCCTTGCATACATTGTGGAATGTTTTCGAAGCCTATAATCAAGCTTTAGCTGTGGAGAAACAACAAAGCCGTCATGCTTCCCAAATGGGACAATACCCCCAAGGAGGGTTTCGAGGTGGTTTTAAGCCCGGTCCTTCCCCTCCTAGCTTTGCCAAAGCTAGTCTTTTTTCCAAGTTTATGGACAAGGGTGCTTTTTCCTCTCAAACTCCTCGTTCTAATGGTGCTTTTGGAAATCAAAATTCGCCTCAAGGTGGAACTTTCAAGTGTTTCAAGTGTGGTGAACCAGGACATAGATCTTCCGATTGCCGCAAGAACATGGGCAATAATTGGAACAAGGCACTTTTCATTGAAGAAGTTGAGGAACATGGTAACTATGAGGATGCTTTAATTTTTGACAATTTGAGCAATGTTGAAATTGGTGGTGATAATGATGAAGAAGTGGGTCTTGCTCTTATGTTGAAGAAGATGCTTCTATCACCAAAGCTAGAGAGCTAGGAAGGTTGGTTGCACACTAATATCTTCTATACCACTTGCAACATTGGTGGACATGTTTGTAACATGAGCATTGGTAGTGGAAGTTGTGAGAACGTGGTTTCTCAAGAAGTGGTGACTGAACTCAACCTTCCGATAGAGGACCATCCACATCCTTATTTTCT